GGCGGGAGCAACACCGAGGGTTGCGATCCCGTGGCCGGTCCCGGTCCAGTACGGGCGCGACACTGAGGGTTGCGATCCGTTGCCGGTCACAAAAAAAGACAAAAAAGGAAAAAAAAAAAAAAAAAGAAGCCATTCAAGATCCCAGTTCCTCAAAGGCAATCCCTGTAACAGTGTACCTCTTTCCAGACCCTTTATTTTTTAATTTTAATTTTTTTTAATTTATAAAAAAATGAAATATACTTCTTACAGTTTTGGAGGTGGGAAGCACATCTGGTGAGGACCTTATTCTGGGTGGTGACTCTACAGCAATGTCCAGACCTTTTAAACACATATACATCTATAGGTACATGTATGTTTACATTTTACATTTTTGCACAATTGTGAAAATATATATTGTCCAGTTTCATGCTTTTTTTATGTCGTATATTTTTGTCTTTTCATGTCAATTATTTTTTAACATGTATATAATATTACACTTTATGACTATACTTTAATTCATTTAACAAATCTCTTAATAAACATATAACATGTTTCAAATTTCCCACCTGTACAAACAGCTGCAGTGAACAACCTTGTATCTTCATGCAGGTGAGTAAGGAAATCTGCAGAATAAATTTCTAGAAGTGAAATGTCTAGGTCGATGGAGATTCACAATTTAATCTTTGATGAATTCTGTCAAATTGCCTTTGAAATGTTCTCCCAATTTACTCTCTTTACAACTGGGTATGTATTTTCCTACCATCTCACCAGCATCAAGCTTTATCAATCTTTAAAAGTGTGTTGCCAATCTGATAGGTGAAAATATATTTTTGTTGTTTTACTCTGTATTTCTTTGTTAATTTGAGTATGATGTCTTTCTTTTCTTTTCTTTTTTCCTGGCAGCTGGCTGGCATGGAGATCCGAACCCTTGACCTTGGTATTACCAACATTGCTCTAACCAAGTGAGCTAACCAGCCACCTGATGTCTTTCTTTTTAAGTACATTTCTAATTCAAGTCTTCTGCACATTTACTATTGGGCTGTTTTCTTTTTTATTGACTTGTAGAAAGTTTTTATACATTAACACTATTAACCTTTAGTATGTAATAAATGTTGAAACTGTTTTCTCTCAATTTGTCGCTTGTACTTTAGTTTTATTTATGATGTCTTTTGCCTTCCAGATATTTCAAATATTTATGTAGTTAAATCTTTTCATTCATTATTTCTGGTCTTATTTTCATTTTACCACCTTGTTTTTTATGATCTGTTGATGATTTTATTCTCTAGTTAATCAAGACTTCCTTAAGGTCAGGGGCTACATTTTCTTCATTTCTGCAGATCCCTGGTCCAGAAATCACTCACCCTAGAGCCCTAGCTATGATAAGTGTTCAATAAATAAACACATTTTTAAATTTTATTAAATTGTCAGAGTTCATTGTGCTGTAAAATAAGCAAGCATAGAAAATGTTATTCTAAGATTGAGGTTGAGGGAAAAGCCTCAAGGTGCTTTGGCCTACAAACCAAACTGCACGGTGAATTAGGAAGTGTAATTTCAATCGATACATGGATTTAGATCAGGGTTAAATTCAAATGGTAATAGAAAAGTATTAAAAAGATCACAAGAAATTCTATATTTGTGTTCTATATTTGTTTCACTTTATAAGCTGTTTATGTCACTGAATTATCTTCTTCCAGAATCAGAGTTTAATATGGAAGAGTCATAGTTTAATATAAAAATAGTCATGGTTTAATATAAAAAGTCAGAATTTAATATAAAAATAACAAAGTGGGGAGTTCAGATGGTAATCTGGGTCTCATGCAAGTCATGTGCCCAGTGAGTTGGACCACTTTGACTACCCTGTGTCATCCTCAGCTGGTGGCCGTGTACACTAATTGCAAGACACACAGGGAAGAGAAGGAAAGGATCTTGTGTGTGAAAACAGCACACCTCAAGCTATAAAATGCTGCAGTTCTTTACATTCTTGATGCTGCCGTCAAAACCCAGAAAAGCCATGTGACTTTGGGGAAATCCCTGAGCCTCATTTTGGCTGTTTTAAAAACAAAGGGGGCCACTGGATGATCTCAGCAGTTCCTACCAAAGCTGAGGTCCTGGGAATCTATGAGAGTCTTCCCAGGGCCCTGCCTTTGTGGGATTCCCTTGGGATTCAATCCAAGATGTGAAAACAAACCCATCACAGCTGTTACCAGCTGTTCTGCGAGGCTGCTCTGGGAGCCCCCAAGAGCGTCAACACCAATGTCTACATGAGTTAAATTAAATCCCAGGGTCTGGTGTGAAGCTGGAACAGACCTTGATGTTTTTATCTGCTGCGGCATTCCTGTGGTGCCTATCACTTCAGCTGAGATGGCATGAGGGGAGGGGAATGGAGTGGAAGGGGCAGTCTTCTCCATTTTATTCAATTATGGCTTATAATCTTTTATTAGGTAATTTATACCCTGGTCACTTCCTAAGAAGACTTAAGATGATTCATAAATTTACTGGAATAACAGGTATTTTATGCCTGCTCTCTGCCAGACTCAGTGCTGGGGGCTGGAGGAGATAAACACATGGGAAAAACAAATACTATGTCTTACATGGTATTATAGAGGCACCGGATGTACAAGGGCTTTGGGGATAAACAGAAGTCATAAGCAATTATGATAGTCCAGAGGTGGACATGGTGGGGAAGAGAGAGGGGAAAGGAAATGACAATTTCTCCAGTGCCTTCTAGGAAGCAATATGTCATAATGATTAAGAGCCCAGGCTTTGGAGACAGATAAGACTGGGTTCAATGCCTTTAAACCTCAGTTTCCTCATCTGCAAAATGGGATAATAATAGAAGTTTCTTTATTGGGTTGTGGGGCAGATTAAATGAAAAACTGTATATAAAGCACTTAGTAGAGTCCAGTATATGCCAAGCATGCAATACATGGTCACTGATTTTGTTGTTATTCTGCATATCAGTCACTAAGATGGACTTTACCATCAAATATTGCATTGTAGTCATTTTACATGTGAGAACATGAAGGCTCAGACAGCTTATGTAATTTTCTCAAGGCCACACAGATTGGAAAGGTCAGAGCAAAATTCTAACTGACATTAAAGACCATTTTCTTTCCATGGCTGTGCTGCGATGACTCTGAAGGAAGGTTTCTCAGAAGACCTGATATCTGAGTTGGGTGTAAAAAAATGAACAGAAGCTTCTTTGTGGAGGTTAGAGAGAGAAGGAAATGCCAGGTAAAGGGAACAGCATGTGCTAAAGCACAGAGGCAAAGAATGAATGAGCTGTTGGGATGGGGTTGGAGGGGGGTTTCCAAAGTTTCCTTCAAAAGGGGTAGATGAGGTGGGGGCCATGAGAGTACACCAGACAGAAGGTTCAGTGCTGTTGTCTTGTTCCTGAAATTGAACTCACCCTGAAATTGAACTCTCGCAACAAACAGGAATGAGAACCACACTGCTGCATTTTCTGGGGACGTGGTCTGATGACCCTTGTGAATCCCTAGAGACCCATTTGACCAATACTACGGTCACTGTTGGAGCCTCTCTGGGCCCCCTTCTCCAAGAGTTCTTTTGCGTTAGTTTTGTTTTTATACCAACAGAAGAGAGAATCATGATAGGGAGGAAAATCTCTCACACTCTAACCCCAAACCACTCACCAGAGCTTGCTTTAGGGGCAGCAGATCAGGTAAGATATGAGCAGGACTAGGTTCTAGTTTTGGAGGAGTTCCCAGTCTGGCTGGGGAGACAGACAGCCAAACTCACCACAGCAGTCAAACTCAGCAGTGGTCAAAACAGAGTGCAAAGTGGGTCAGGGCTTGGGTCAATGGCAGTGCCAAGGGTGGCTGTAGAGGAGGGTCTTGGCACCCTCATAAACTCCATCAGCCCATTCCAATTCTTTGATGATCTTTCAGTTTTTGTAATGGATTTCTTTTAGTTGAAATCATCACTGTGGTAGCCAGACTTCAACAATGACCCTCATTTTTATATAATCCTCTCCCCTTGGAGTGTGGGTGGAAACTGTGAATATGATATCACCCCTGTGATTATGTTATGTTAGATGGCAAGAGGGAGATTATTCTGGGTGGCCCTGACTTAATCAAGTAAGTAATCCTTCAAAAAGCACAGAGTTTTCTCAGATGGTCACAGAGGAGAAAGCTGGTGAGACACGCTCCCACTGGCCTGGAAGAAGGGAAAGTGTTGGGTTATGAATTACCAATGGAGAGGGTGACTGGTTGCTGAGAGTGGCCCCAGCCAACAGCTAGAGAGAAAACAGATATGTCAGTCCTGCAATCTCAGAGACTTGAGTTTGGCCAACAACCTGAATGAGCTCAGCAGTGGGTTCTTCCCCCCGAGACTCCAGAAAGGAACGCAGCCTGGCTGACACCTTGATTTCAGCAGACCTGAGCAGAGGATCCAGGTCTGCCGTGCTCAGGCTTCTGACATACAGAACTGTGAGCTAATAAGTGGGTGTTGTTTTAAGCTGATAAGTTTGTGGTAACTTGTTACACGGCAGTAGAAAACTGATATGATGATTTTCATATACATATAAAATGAACATGTTTTGAACACTATAACTCCATCAATGAAGGAATTCATCAGCTGTTACAACTGGTTCAAAGGAGAATACACAAAACTGCACATGTGGGCAATCAAGAACATGGAAACAAATACAAAAGTAATCAATATCCACAGAGCAGTAATCAATTGCACCTCCGATGGACAAAATTCATTTGCGTTTCTGTGGACGGGAATTACTTGCATCGCTATGAGCTTGCTACAATTTGCAATGTTGTAAGAAAGCTCAAAAGCAATGACAGGAGCAGATAACGCACAAGGATACTCTAGAAGGATGTCTACTGATCTTTTTTTGCCCATTTTAAAGTCTTTCACAATTTTTCCTGCTAAGCAGTATGGAAATGCAGCCACTGCTGCCACACATATTCCTCGCCGACTTATTGCCTCTGCTAAATCCTGTCACAGAGAACTGTGGAGTGGCCCCTGACTGGCCTTCCGTGAGGCCCCAGGCCAGAGGGGCTCACCCCAGCCTGGACCAGCTACGAGCCCTTTCACAGCCATTATCCAGCTCTTTACCTCCTCTTCTCACAAGATTCCTGTGGTCAAGGCAGAGCAGGTGACAGCTACCCTCATCACACTGCTAAGGCAACTGAGGCTCAAAGAGGAGTGGGGACACGCCCAGGGCCTCTCAGGGAGTCAGTGTCAGGACTGGGATATGGCCCTGGGTCCCCTCCCTTCCCCTTCAGGGCTTGCCTTCTCCACTCCCCCACCCCACCCCCACCTCCTTATGCCCAGACAAGTGAACTTGTCACTCATCTCCTTCCCTCCACACTGCAGGGCTTGGCACCTGACTTGGGCACTGGCAGTGGCCTCAGATGTCCCTTGTCCAGTCTGCAGGCAGCAATCCAAGGGCTCTGCAGAGCCTGCCTGCCCCGGCCCCTTTGCCCCCACCAGACCCTCTCCCATTGTGCACTGAGCACAGTCACACCTGTGTTCTCTTCTCTTGCTCCAGCAGCCTGACAGCCCCTAGAACAGCATCCAGACATGACTTGCCCAAACCTGCTGTGCCAGGGCCACCTGCTCCGCCTCCCAGGCTGCTCACCCCGGCCACCCGCCTCCATTGGTTTCCCACTGGGCAGGGAGCTGGCAAGTCATCTGTGAGGCCAGGAGTGCCAGTCTGCTAAAGCCTCTTCCCAAACTTCCTCCTGACCAGTGCCAGGCACTAGAGCAGGACAAGCCATCAATGCCAGGTTGGGCAGCTGGCTGGCAAGCTGGCCACCTGCTCAGCTCACACAATGTAAAGTTTTTGTTTTACTTTGTCTTTTGAATCCTGGAGCTGAGACTGTTGGAGCTGAGGGGTTTTAGAGGAGGCTAGTCCAGCCTGGCACTATTCAGATGGGATCACTGAAGCCTGGGGAAGAGCGGGGCTGTGCCCATCGGCTGGGGGCCTGGGCGTTGGTGCTAGGTCTGCCAGGTTGGTCAGGGGTTTAGTACTGACTCTCTAACAGTCTGCTCCTTGGAGGCCCCTGTGGGTGTAGATCACAGGGGGAAAAAGGTACAGGTTGATCAGCACTTTTTGATTTTCTAGCAAAGCAGAATGGCCAGGGAGGCTGAGGCCTGGAATCCAGTTAGTTGGGTGACATCAGTGTCTCATTTTCCCCACTCCTCATTCCCATCCCTGTCACTGTGCCTTACGCTCCAGTCCCATGAAGGAAACACATGCTGTTTCCCAAACGTGTGACTTTGTCAACACCACTGAGCCCCCATTGTTTTGCTCCTTCTGCCTGGGCCGCCCTGTTCCAACTCCTACTTAAGATCCAGGCCAACGTCCCGTAAGGATCTCTGACCCTGCTGCTCGCCTGCCTCCTGCCTCCTGCCAGTGCAATTGACCTGCCTCTGCCTGCACCCCCTCACCCTCTTAACGGTTCACAGTGCCTGGCATACCTGCTCCCTCCCTTTGATCACGTGTCCCTCTACCTGGTAGCTTGGGAGCCTCTTGGAGGTGGTGGCCAGGCCTTATTCACCTCCATAGCTGCCCACCTGCTGACCTGTACAAGGCCTGGCACACAGTCTGTGTTTGCTAAATGTGTGCTGAATATGGGCTACTCTTAGACCACAAAAAGGGACAAATATGTTCAGTGATATTTATGAAGACTTTAGAAAGCATCAAATGTATGTAATTAAGGAGAACCACATGGAAATAATATAACTAAACTCTTAGAAGTTTATCTTGGATAAAAATGTGATACAGAGCTGACCTTAAAGGCTATTTAACAAGTTACTGATCTTAACTAAATGGAATATCATTTTTACATTTTTTAAAATACATCCTATTTATTGAAATTGTAATAACTTTTTATTTGTTTGGCAGCTCGCTAGTATGGGGATCAGAACCCATGACCTTGAGGTTATAAAGCTGCAGTCTAACCAACTGAGCTAACCAGCCAGCCCTTGTAATAACTTTTTAAAAGGTCGAGATGTCTTAGGCAATTCTTGAGCATGTATATTTTTGAAATGTGTTAATATGTTTTTTCAAATAAAGAGAAAAAAAGAAAAGAAAGAAGGAGGGAAGGAGGGACAGAGGGATGGAGGGTAGGGAGGAAGGAGGGAAGGAAGGGGCCAAAATGTTGCTGAAACAGCCCTTTGATTTCCTTGGTGGAGCTCATCAGAATCATGACGCCACTGGGCAAATGACGCCATTGCTCTGGGTCTTCCCTCCATCAAAAGCTAGAGCTGGGTGCTGTCGTGAGAGAGCACTGGGGTGGGCAGATGGTCATTGCATTATTTGTTTCTCAATTACCCTGGGCTCAGCTGTTGGAAGCCAAGTCTCTCTCTCACTCTGAGCCTCAGTTTCTAAAATAAGGAAGTTGGACCAGATAAGTCTAAACTCACTGCCCAGTTCCACACTCTGGCAAGCTGATTGTGAAAAAACAAAAAGATCATGTCAGGGCCGAGAAAGTCCACTGCCCAGGTTTGAAAGGAGACGTCTCCTTCTTTCTCCCAATTTCCCCACAGCTGTAGAGCCAGACAATTCAGCCAGCTGCTGGGGACCTCTGATTACCCCTCCCCATGTTGGATCCTTTTGTCATTCAGCTCATCTCTGACCTTCTGCCTGCTGGCATGCTCCTCATATATCAGAGCAGCTGTTGGAGAGTGAAACCAGTGGATCTAGGCACCGCGGGAAGAGTTATTTGTTTTGATGCTGAGGATCCAAGAAATGCACATGGTTCCTTTTGTGGGTTATGTTAAAATGCATCTGCAGGTTTTATTATTTCTAATTACAAAGTAGCTTAATAGTGTCTCTGAAGCTTAAGGTGTGTGGGGATGGCCAGAAGCTCTGAATTCATGTTGTAGCACAGCTGGAAAAGGGAAAGATGCTTTGGCATGGATACGTAAATGTTCAGACTAACAGTTCAGGGAGCCAGGAGTCACAGACTCAAGCTCTGAGAATGGTGTGTGTCCATGACAGAGTCACGTCCTCGGGCTTTCACAGAGTTTCTGCTCAACTACACCTCCTCGGTCCTGGGCATTAGGCTTTCGTGAGGCAGTTTGGACCGAGCATGCCAAGTGGCTGTGACTAATGAAGGGACAGGGAGACAAAGGCCATGCTAAGGAGAGCTATGACATGGCCAGCGTTTCAATAAGCTCAGTGTGCACGCACAAATGTAAGAGGGACTCTGAGGCCTTGGGTGAGTTTTCTCTTTATTTGTGCCCAGGAGGTGAGGGTACCAAATGCCTCCGAGGCTAGCATTTGAGACCTCTCCGGTGGCAGATGGGAGACTGAGGCTTGAGTTGTGACTTGCCTGAGGTCTCACAGCTGAGCAGAGGCAAAGCGAAGTGGAAGCCCAGGGTCTGGCCTGGCCTGCGCCTCTCCCTGCCCACTGCGTGCTCTCCTGGGGCTTCCTCTCAAGCCTCAAGGCACTCCCGGGCTGAAGCAGCACAGAGCTCACGGAGGGAGACCCCGCGGTTGGTGCTTTCTGCACGGGTCTAGAACCTCACACCATGAAGCGGGAGCTAAGGAATAAAGAGCATCCTTGGGCCAAGAAATGGACCAAGAAGATACTTGTCATGGGTACGGGGAATGCCACATATCTTGGATCAAATGCACATCCGAGGTGATTTCCATAGTCAACTATTTGGCAAATGCTAACATTGGCAAGGCACACAGGGCCGGGCAGAGGAACGAGCCCTGGCCTGGGAGGCAGGGAACAGGGTGCCTGGTGTGGTTCTCTCTGCCTCCCAGCCTCTGCCCATTCAGTGTTGAGCACCTGCTGTATGCCAGACGATACACGCAGCTTTCATGGGCTTCTCTCACTCTGTCCTGGTGCTGGTGCTTGCTGCTCCATCCCCGGCTCTTCTGCGGGTGCAGGACATGCACGTGCACAACAGAGTCCTCTTTACAGCCCCTCTCATTACAGCCATGGAACAGTCTTGTTGGGTAGGGGCTGGCTAACTACTGTCAGAGCAGGTGGCTGAGGCCCAGAGTGTAACCAACACACATTCCAAGTGCTACAGCCAGGATCTGAAACCAGGTCTGTCCACCTCCTGTGCCCATTAGCCCCAGCACCTGGCTTCTCGTGGAGAAGGCACAGGAAGTCCAGGCCTCTGCTCACTGTCCATTCCATCTCTGAGAGCTTTGATGACCAGTGGCTGAGCAGCATCAGAAGCCAGACCTGCAGGAAAGGAGCTGCCCCTGGAGACCAAACCTAACTGTGGGTGGTGGCGGCAGGCAGGTGACACTTGGGGAAATCCCCAGGGTGCTGCAGGCAGAAACAGGGTCCTTGCTTCCCTCAGGATGTCCGTGTTGAGGGCGCTGAGCCAAGTGCACAGGAGGGAGGGAGGCCCAGCTCCTCCCCACATGTCTACCAACAGCATTAGCCAGTCAACACCAACTGTAGGTCAACGTGCTGCCTTGAGAGCTACTAAGACTAGGACTAGAGTGAGCATAGGACTGCAAGAGAAGTGAGTGGAGCACCCCTTTGCCCAGCCCAGCCTAGGGGTCCATCCCTGATGGCATACCCACGGGACTCTGGCCCTTAGCCAGGTGGGCCCTCTCCTGGAGCCACATCCCACAGACAGCCTGACCCTCCCTTGCTCCCCAGCCAGGGATGTGAGTGCCCAGACTCCTGCACCCACTGCAAGAGAGGAAGAAACCTCAGCCAATGGGAGCTAGAAGGGAGCTGCCAGGGACAGTCCTGAGGGGCCTGAGCAGAGGCGGCTGGCTTCAGCCAAGAAAGGGCAGTGCCCAGGCTGGGGGCAAGTGCTTCCAGAGAGGTGGGGAGGTGGAGGGGAGGGGAGGGGACACAAGTGTGTGGGCCAGTTCCCTGGAATAAATCTCTCTCTTTCTACACACACACACTGTATTGGTTCTGTTTCTCAGGAGAACCCTGACAATACACATGGTGAAAAGGTAACCCGAGGTGGCTGAATGGAAGCTATTATGGAACTTCGGAACAAGAGATGGCAGGCAAAAGCCAGGACATGTAAATTCCCTGTCCTTGCCCCAGACATCTCAAGATACAAAAATCTTGAGAAATCCATAGGAAGGGACTAAATTTCTTATCAAAGACAGTTTAGATGTATATCAAGCAAGTTCCGTGCTGGGAACACAAACCACCTAGGCTCCTTCAGCAGGAAGGGATTTAACCAGAGCTGGGGTGTGACGGAAGAGCTCTCAGGACAACACAGAGCTGACCCCTGGGGTTGCTCCTGCCTCTGAGAACACCACTGGGCGCTGCGTGAATAGAAAAGCTGGAACTGCTGCTGGTGCTGCTGCTGCCACTGCTGTTGCAAAAGGCTCTGGATCCTATGAAAGCGGAGAATGCACAGGAACGCAGGCAGTGAAACCTCATGTTTCTGTGACCTTGCTCACCAGAGGAAGCAGGGCTGGGGGAATGGGCCTTCCTCACTTCTGACTTCCAGAACTCACACAAGCATACCCATTGGATGGCACCTACTTCACATCCAGGACTCTGGCTTCAAGGGCATCTGGGAAAGATGATCTTAAGCTGTCCAACCTCTCCACCCTAGGAGGAGGGTAGATTGGAGCAAGCCACTCCACAGGACTCCCCAAGGAACTGTGTTCCCCTCTAGACGTACATACAGAGCAGTGAGGCTCACGCAGACCAGAGTCCTATCTGAGAGCACACAACAAGCAGAGACAGGGTGACAGGCCATGTCTCGCCACGCCTGCCTGCCTAGGTGGAGGGGGTGAAAGAACGCAGCTGCTTGGAGCAAGAAAGTGTTTGTTGCTGTCCGTGTGGAAGGTGGAGAGCATTAGCAGGAGATGGGGAATTTCAGTCCAAATGCAGCTGAGATCATATCTTGGCTTTGTTCCCCACGAATGCACAGTTATTTGTATTTCAGCATAAAATTCTAACTCCCAGAACCTGATTAACAAAGGCAGTGCGCGAGGCATTCCCCCAGAGGCCAGCCAGATGGAAAGCCCAACGGAATTTAACTTTGAAGTGTTCTGTGTTATCTGACTCATTTGCAAAAGAAATGAGCTTTATGGGATGTTCAAATGTTTCCAGACATAACCAGTTGCCCCCAAGCGAGAATAAAGTTATAATCTCCCCTTCACCTCGTGCACAAGCAGGCGGGCTGTTAAAATCAAAATACATCTCCTCTCCAGGCACTCCTGGAACCAAAATAAAAACACCTTGGATCAAGCAATGATTGATTTGTTTTTCCCCCACTTTGACAGTGGAATCAGAATGACTGTATGGCTGGTCTAATGAATCACACTCATTTGTCATTAGGATAATGCAAAATATGTGACTAGATATGCTCGGTCATAGAGCCTCTAAGGCTCTGTGGTGCTGGGAAGAGCACAGATAGACTTGGCTTCAAATCTCAGCCCTGCTGTTTTCCAGCTGTGTGACCCTAAAGAAGTAGCTTCTGTCCTCTGAGCCTCAGTTTCCTTTTCTGTAAAATAAGCATAAAAATATTGATCCATGGTTATGAGAAGGGTGTGAAAGGGCTTCCGAAAACACAAAGGGCTGCACATGTATTAAAATTTTCCTTTTAGACAGCCTGTCACCCCAAGCCACTCCCTCCCCTGAATATACAACGAGCAATTTCTCACCACCGTGACTTTGCTCATGCCCTCTGCTTAGAATGTCTTGTCTTGCCTATTTCCCCAAGTCCTTGCAAACATCCACTGGTATCTTTGTTTGAGGGATAAGGGTCGGAGTGGACATTGCCCATTGCCAATGTGGTAGGTGGAAAATGGCATGGAGGCTTGGTTCTGTTCACTTCTCAGTAATTCACCATCTCAGGACACCTGGAATATCAGAATTGAAAGAGCTCTCAAGGACCATCCAGTCCAACCTCTTGCTGATGGGATAGGAAAATGCACAGAGGCCAGGGTATATCCCCAGTGCCAGGCATCTCAGCAGGTGGGTCAGGAGTCCTGAAACACTCAGGCCACTTTGCAGTGCCTTGTGGGCAATGTTCTGGGTCCTTTCTGTTATCCTCATTTCGCTAGTCAGGCTTCTCCAGAGAAACAAAACCTATAGGAGATCCCTATCTATCTATCCATTGATCTATCTATCTAGAGATTTATTGTATGAAATTGGCCCTTGTTTACAGAGGCTGGTAAGCCCCAAATCTGCAAAGCCTATGTCCCGGACACAAAGTAATTTGCAGAAAGGTGGTTTTGACTTTTTAATGTTAATGTCGATATTTTTAATATTGAGATTTCTGGTTTAAAATGGCACTTGGTTAGTAGCCCCCCTTCCCAGCCCATATTGTCACTGATGCAGTGATGGGGAGGACACAGCATCTCTCACAAACGCATGGTAGACTAAGGTGGACAGAAAACTTACTCCCCAAATCTGAGAGGACACTCCACTGATATAAGACAGGTAAAGCAGGTTGAGAAAAACCTTCTCAAGTTCATCTCATGAATCACAGAATTACCTAGATAGGAAGCCCCTTCATACCTCTTCTGCTCTCGGACCCTGGACAAACCTACAGTCAAACACGACTAGTGAGGTTTTTCAGGACTCCTTGCCGGGGCACCTGAAGCAAGTTTGCACCAAACCAGCAGCTGCAGTTGCCTCATTTCTATCTTCAGATTCTTGATATTTCCATTGGCCCAAAATGCACTAAGTCATCCCCAAATTCGAAGCATTCAGCAAACAATGGCAAGGCAGAGCCACCAGAAATGTACACCTGATTTCCATGACAAATATGGTGACACTGTATTAGCTAGTGGAGCCACTTTCTGTATTGCTGTGTGGACATATACAGCAACACACATTGGAATGCAATGGAACCTGTCCCCTGCTGGCAGAGTCATCCCAAAGGATTTGAGAGACCAGTAATCATCCCAGCTGGTGTAATACTGAATTGTTTTAAAACCAACTCATAACTGATGCCAAGTGAAAGCACTGTGTACTCATTTAAATATGGCACTATTGAAGAAATAAAGTACATTTGAAACTTAAAAAAAAAAATACCCAGACTAGCATGGGCTGTTTTTTGGGGTGGCCAAACCTTCAGTGCCCAGCCTCCAAACACTATCTTCCTACTTAATTCATGCTGGGAATCTCAAAGAGAACAGCTGTGTAAATCTCAGGGGGAGATTAGAGCAATAATGATATCCCTCTCACATCCACCAGATTAGGGGGGAAAGCCTGACCACAGTAAGAGCTGGGGAGGATGTGACCTGACCAATAGCCTTCACTCTTGGAAGGCTTGTGGTAAATTCTTCACCTTCCATGACTCCTTGACAGTATTTGACACAATTGCACGTTCCCTCCTCTTTCTCCATCTGGACTCCGGAAAACCACTCTCTTCAGCTCTCCCTGCCTAGTGGATGCTTCTTCTCAGTCTTTTTTGGTTTCTCCTCTTTCCCCCCTTGTTACAGTTGAAGTGCTTCAGAGCTCAGTCCTTGGACAGTTTCTCTTCACCAGCCACACTTAGAGGACCTCCTGTTTCATGGCTTTAATACCATCTAATTGCTAGTGATTCCCCAATTTACATCCACACCCAAATTTTCCCCTTGAATCCAGGCTTGGCTTTCCAGCTGCCAACTCAACATCTCTGCTTGGATATCTAGTATTAGTCATTTGGGGCTGCCATAACAAAATACCATAGACGGTGTGGCTTAACAACAGAAATTTATTTTTCACAGTTCTGGAGGCTGGAAGTCTGAGATCAGGGTGTCGGCATGGTCAGATTCTGGTGAGGGCTCTTTTCCTGGCTTGCAGAAGGCTGCCTTCTCACTGTGTCCTCACGTGGTGGGGAGAGAGAAAGAACAAGCTGTCTGGTGTCTCTTTTTATAAGGGTACTAAAACCATCATGAGGGCTCCACCTTCATGACCTCATCTAATCCTGATTACATCCTAAAAGCCCTACCTCCAAATAAAATCACATTGGCAATTAGGGATTCAACATATGAATTTTGGGGTTGGGGGATACAATTCAGTCCATAGCACTAAGAGTTGTCCCAAACAACTGACCTCCTGATCATCCCCCAAACCATGCTACATACAGTCCTTCCTCTCAGTAAATGGCAACTGCATCTTCCAGTGGTTCAGGTCAAAGACCTTGGACCAAACTTGGACTCCTCACAGCAAATCCTGTTGGCTCTTCTTTCAACGCATCCCAGATCCCATCACTTCTCACCCCCTTCATTGCTACCACCCAAGTCCAAGCCACCACCTTCTCTTGCTCGGAATATCATCACAGCCTATGATCTAGTCTTCCTACTCCTATCCTAGTCTGCCTGCAGCCTCAGACGCAGGTACCCAGAGTGAGCCTTTTAAAACATAACGTTTTGCTCAAAACCCTCCATGGCTTGTCAATTCACTCAGAGTAAAAGTCACAGTCTCTAGTTACCCTGGCTCCCTGTTACCTCCCTGACCTTCTCTCCCACTTCTCTCCCCTTGACTCACTCTACTCTAACCACGCTGGTGTTGCCACTGTTCTTTGAGCCCTCCGGGCACTCCCATCTCAGGGCTTTTGCTTCTGCAGGCCCCCAGGTATCCACATGGCCCACTTCCTCACCTCCTTTGAGTGTGTGCTCAATATCACTTCTCCATGAGTCCCAGACCACCCTACCTCAGCTCCCTGGCACTCCCTGTTTTCCTTACTTGGTCTTATTTTGCCTTGTAGCTTTTCTCACTTTTGAATGTGCTGTTAATTTATTGATTGTTCATGTTTATGGTCTGTCTCACCCCCTGACATCATCACGAAGAATTTCAATAATGATTGGAAAACAGGCAAGGAAAAGGAAGACTAAGGAACAGCCAGGATTTCAGCCACAAAACCAGTTCATTGAAGACCCCACCACTGAACCCCGAATGTGCCACCTGCACAGCTGGCCTTAGGCCTTGGCTGCTGCTGCTGGTCCTCCTGGCCCTGGAAATTCAGTGTTGCCACGGTTCACGGCCAGAAGTGGATTTTTTTTTTTTTTTTTTTTTTTTTTTTTTTTTTC